CTTTTGAAACATAGTGTCATGTAGTAAATAAACGTTTTGGATATAACAATGACTTTTATTCAATTATTGTGAACGCCAAAAAATGTTCAGCAAATAAACCAATATTCAGCAACTGCTGCAAATGGCGCATGAGCGAGTAGCCGCGCGCGTGCGTAGACCGGTGTTATCTTCCACGGGAGCGGTTTTGAGTAACGGACGACGCAAGGCGCAGTCGAGTCGAAAGGCGCAGAGTCATCGGCATCTCCGACGCAGCGGCGACGCCGGACGAACGGGCTGAGCGCAGAGGGAGCGCTCGACGTGTCCCGGGTGCTTCTTGCGCGATTTCTGACGACGAGAACGCGCTTCCACAGCAGCGAGGCTACATCCGGTCGCGCGACTGTCGCGAAGAGGTACTGCAGACCAAGTGCCACGGCATTTTTTTTTTTCGGTTTAGCCGAAGGTTTGTGTAGTAGTGTTGCAGTTCGCACGCATTTCGCGTTGTTCTGTTATGTGTAAGTGGCTGGTATGCGTTCGCGTCGGACCTTAGTCAATAACCAAATCGGCTTTTGTGTTTTTGTGTTGCACTACGCCCTCAGAATGTCAGAAGGAAGTGCTTGTCTTCTTTGTTCTGTAGTGAGAACGTGTCGAACTGTTTTAGCGTTGCCGGAGTTTTGTTGGTTTGAAAGGCTTGATAGGCTTCGTTACACGAAAGCAGTCCCGAGCATGAGTGAAGGACGCGATATAAGGTTCCTTCGTCAGTACTTTCGAAGAAGTTTCGACTACAATTAAATGCTTGCGGATTCGCAAAGCGCTGGGACCTGACTGGAAAGGTCCTCCCGTTCTTGGAGATCATAAACACGGAGGTTATGCGAATCTACAACAGCTTCGTTGTACAGCGGTACTTTCCGGAAAATTGGAAATTCGCAAGTATCTCCATGCTCCCGAAACCTGGTAAGGATCTCATGATCGCTGCGAGCCACAGGCCAATCAGTCTCCTTCCTGGTTTGGGAAAAGTATTCGAGAGGATTCTACTCGCGCGAATTCTGTAACTACTCTCACGGAACCTCATCCGAGATGAACAGTTTGCCTTCATACCGGGCTATTCCGCTTCACTACAAGCACAAGGTCTCACCAGATTTCCGCTTATCTTTTACATACACAGGATGTACCTGTCATATACCTCGACATGGTGCCACACGAGAGCCACAAAGTACACTCATCACAAAACCTCGGCATTGTCTTCCACAAGACGTAACCGATATTATTAAGTCGTTCCTCACAAACCGCGCATTCGTGGTCAAAGGGAAATCCTCAAAGCGGAGGATTGCAGACGGAGTCTCTCAGGGCTCCGTCCTCTCCACTGCTGTTCGCGCTGTTTATCAATAACATCCCACATATACCAAAAATACGGTTTTTCCTTTGCGCTGATGTCATAGCCGTCTTAGCAAGAGGAATAAACCTAGACCACAAATTGAAAATACTTCAAAAAAAGATGCCCCTGACGCTGAAGTGGGCGGAACAAAACCTCTTGACTTTCTCAGCATAAAAGTCGCAGGCAGTCTGTTACACCCGCCGCAACAAAACACAAATACACTAAAGATTTTACACCACTAAAAAAAATGGCACTTCGCACTCAAAAACTGACATGTCGCCTACGGCAACCTAGGTGGCACTTTTGATCGAAGGATGCGCTGGCAGTACATGTCAGGCGAATTCGATCAAAATTACAGCAACGAGTTCGCCTCATACAACCTCTTTTGAGGGAACTCCCCTTGGAATTTCGCTTGGCACTCTATAAAACGTGCTGCTGGCCTGTGGCCACCTACACTGCGGCAACGTGCTGGACCACAGCACAGAAATGCAAGGATACACTTGAGCTGTTACAGAACAAAGCTCTACGGCTCAAAGCACGCCCTCCGTTTCGGAAACAGTTTAAAGTACTGACGAAGGAACTGCTTTCGTGTAACGAAGCCTATCAAGCCTTTCAAACCAACAAAACTCCGGCAACGCTAAACTTCGAACGTCCTCACTAACGGACAAAGAAGACAAGCACTTCTTCTGACATTCTAGGGCGTAGTGCAATCACAAAACAAAAAGCCGATTTGGTTATTGAGTAATGGTCCGACGCGAGACCACATCAGCCATTACACATAGCAGAACAACGCGAAATGCGTGCGAACTGCAACACTATCACACAAACCTTCGCTAAGCCGAAAAAAAAAAAAAAAAAAAAGATGCCGGGGACTTGCTCTGAAGTAACTTCTACTAACGACGATCACGTGTCAAGTGCAAACCGCGAATGTACAAGTCAAAGTCGCATGAACTCGCAGTCGGGCGACAGCCGGATGTAGGCCTGGCTGCTGTGGAAGCGGTTTCTCTCAGTCGACAGAAAATCCGCGAAGAAGACGCTGGGGACGGTCGGGGCTTCCGTCTGTTGGCTTATCAAGACCTAACGTTGTATTAAAGGGTCTGAAAAGCACTTATTGACCGGTGTGATGTTCCGATTGTACATTTTTCGGCCCGTGGTTACATTTTTACGCCCTAAAAATCAAAATGCTTTATTTAATTCATACAAGTATATTTAATTAATTTAATGTTAAGCTTACAATGAAACAGCATCCGTGGGGATACTTACACCACATTAATTTACACGAGAAGTCAGCCGTGTAAGCAGTGGCGCACTAAGTATGACAATTCAGTCGGTACGCGTATTGTGAATTTAACTGAAATCACAGACAAAATTCGAATTTTTTTAAAGTAAAAATCGAAACAGTTTCAATGGGTTTGAATTTTTACCGATTGTGAATCTAACGAAACCATAGACACCTCACACATGGTCAGAGGTTGCGAAGTATTCTTTCAGTTTCTGCGCGTAATGGAAGTTATTAATGTAGACAAAAAAGGCAAATGTGTAATACTGGGGATTAGGAAAACACCAACACTACATTACGGACATAATTGAACTTGCCATTCTAATAAATTCTACAATGTTCACAAAAATCATGAGGGCAGAGGGAAATGAACAGAACTGACTTACATAATGAGCAATTTATTAATCTTGTAGCGCGTCATTTCTCAATGTACTGTGTGTACAGCGAACCATTCTCAGCGAGCACTATAAAACAGACAAATATGAAGCACGTGGCGTTACGAAGGTTTAGGGATTAACCGGGACAGGTGGCTTAGGGTATCAACAGTGCCCCTGAACGGGAGATCCTGGGTTTGAGTCCCGATGGTGGCAAGATCTTCGACACTACTGGATAGGTAGGCCGCGGTTGGTCGCTGTTAGGAGATTCTAGCGGCCGGCTGGTCTGATCGGTAGTTTTCCGTGGTTTCTCCGATCTAGACTAGGCGAATGTCGTGGCAATACCGTACCAAACGGACCGCGCGTGGTCTTTCATTCCCATTCCTGGTCATATCCTCACCCCTTACACACAATTACACGCACTACACTAACACACCTGCCGGGAGACTGGTTGGGAGCTTAAGGGCATGACCCGGGTGTGGCGGTACCCCGCCCAGACCCAGCGGGGCAAGAACACCGCCACCTCCCGAGCGAAAACACGCAAAGCACGTACGGGACTAATGACCTTAGCAGTACACGCGCCCGGATTCACTAGTAATCATTTTAAGGCCTAAGCTTCGACAGTCCTTGACGGTAGCACACTCGCGTCTGCCGTGCTTTCCAATTTCACAACGGTCATCTTTAAGCAACTCACGTAAGCATTTACGGAGATTTAGATGGAAATATGCAAATAAAAAATCTAACTTGACTTTACAAGAAGAGAATTAGAAAAGGACAAGTTTGCCACCAGCAAACCTTGATCACGTCGGCTTAAACAATGTCACTTCATAATAAAATTATATTTACAGCAGCTCTAAGCACTAAATACACTAACAGTTCTTCCTTTTTTGATCGGGAGTCGGGGTCGTTGGGAACCCTTGATCTCATTATTTACAGCCACTTGAACAGTAGTTGAAAATGTGCCCGAGGAACGTATTATCATTCGTGGATCTTTTAAACGGATACACCTCGCTGTCTTTGTTTCTACAATCATAGGGGAGCCCTCTGCCCTCACTTTATAACATCGCCCAACGCATCACTCATACGCAGTCTACACGAGCATCAATAATTGATGCATCGACTCCTCAGAATTAATGCCATCGGCGAGTCTGTGACAACGGAGCATGAGGTATAATAACTTGGTTAAGATTTGGAAATTATTTTTTTTATTATCTGCGTCGGCAAACACGCGCTTAGCTCCTTAGCAACCAACCATCCAAACGACGCATTAAGAGCGCGTCCATTACAATGGCTCTTAAAATGCCCGAGAGTCCATTGAAAATATTTTAGTGGACTCTCGGGTTTATATTTTACCAGTGATCATAAATGTTTGGATGAATATCTTTATATTGTCCCTCTTTTACCCCTTGTCCTTTTAACCGTTTCGTCCCTTTTGTCCCCGCGTATTATTTGTCCAATTGTCCCTCACTTCCATTTGCCCCCTTGGCTCATTTTATTCCCTTATCGTAATTTGTTCCGACGTCCACATTGTCCCATTGACCCATTTTGTACCCTTGTCCCACTTTGTCCCAGGTCTCTTGTTTACATTGTCTAATTTGTCCCCCTTTCCCCATTTTAGGAACTTTCTTCTCCTTTTGTAATTTTGTCCATTTTGTTTCTATTGTACCATTTTGTCCCCCTGGCCCTGTTCGTCTTCCTTTCCTCCCCTTTTCCCACCTGCCCACCCCTGTACTTTGGGTCCTTCCGTGTACTGCGTTTGTTATTTTAAAACGGTATCAAGACCCTGAACCAATAACAGATCCAACAAGATCCTTGCTACAAGACATTGGGAGAAATGACAATTCTTAACTCATGAAAGTGTTAAGTGTTTATTTTGAATAACTAGAAAACAAAAGGCATTGTATATATCACGTCCACTATTAGTCTTCAAGGACTCGTTACATACATAACAATCATTCATCAACTGTGGCATATAACAAATATGTGTAGTTCTTACTTCAACAGTCTTCTGACGACCCCCGGTGAGTCGGTAGTAGACGCCGATGCTAGCAGACGTCAGGAGCACCAGGCCCAGCACCACGTAGTCCCACGCACCGAAGAAGGTTTCTTCCACCACAGCCATGGCGTCTGTGGACACAATAATACATTGCCTCTTCAAGTCGCGTCGAAATAATGAGAAATTATAGTACAGAAGAATGCAGTTTTCGCCCCGACGCTGACGTCTCAGTGAATATCAAACCTTATCAGTGGAAATATTTATGCATGAAGGGTATTGTAAGGGTTCTAATGATCGACGTAAAGCCCGAGGGCCTTTGGCAGAATATCATTATAATTAGCAAAGCCCTTTGTACGTATAATATTTTATTTTTTACCTAATTTTAATGATTAATATTTACTTATTTACTTATTAACTAGATATCAACTTAATTCGGTTTGAAATTTCTTGATTTTCGTCTGTGTTTTCGAATGTTTTTTCCATAATTCTAAGCGTCGTTCAACTGTTTTCATGTTTCCCTTGTAACCATGATGCAAGGACATGAAGTGTACTGCTCGGTCGCACCGATTTTTGCTCGTACTGCGCAGCACCAGGCATGCACGAACCACGGAACCACACTACTGACACTTTATTTAAAAAGCCAAACCCAGACCACGTCAGGCATGGTGAGACGTCGCCAATGGGCAGCGAGCAGCGTTAATTGCAGTTGACACTGGCATACAGCGAACATGAAAAATAATAGTACACGTCTTTAGGTAATGATGATGTAATTTCCAGGAAAGTATCAAATACCCTCCCCCTCCCCGTACTTCTTGAAAATATCGCAACAATAAATGAAGCCTTTATTGAGAGAATAAACCTCTTTTAATCAGCAACAAGTACGAAGGTGAAGAAATGCCCTCAAGCAGTACCGGGATGGAGGCGGAAACAGATTTTTAATGGTGGAAATACCACCGGCGGGTGGTATCAGGTTCCGGCCGGACGTCTATCGGTGGATTCGAGAGCATTCAGAAGAATCTTCTTTATCTGATCCTGCCCAAAGGTGACGCGCCAGGGGCTCGACTGGTGGGTTACCGGACAGAGTCCGGAAATCAGGAGCTTAGCATCGCCTATTCACTGCCTCCACCTTGCAGCTGTCGAAGTGAGTGACCCCCCAAAACTCAGGGTTCCTGTGGTCGTCTACAACACTCCACAAGAAATGGCGTCCCTCTATTTCAGACGCTAGCATACCACACATGCCGGATACCGGTCGGGAGCTAAGGTTTTTTTACCGGCCGGGGCGGTGCACAGATGGTAGGAGATATCTGGTTGGGGAAAACCCCCGCCAGCCGATGGTATGTCGGCCACGGATCTCGCCATCCAGTGGGATAAGATCACCGCCCACTCCCGTGCAAAAAGGCAATTCAATTACGGGGACTAATGATCTAAGTAGTTGATGCCCGGAATCACTAGTAATCGATCAATCAATCGTTGCATTGTTGAGATATATGATACCTAAATGAAATCATTTTTAACTGCCGAATTTGTGTCGAAGCTTTAAAAGAATCGGTCTTCCTATCTAATCCTAATGTGTTTAACAAGTGATAACTGACGATGAGATGTTAATAAGAACAGAAATTATGATATTTTAATACTACGAAACCGTTACTAACTGCGAGATAATTCGTGCTGTTGCAGTCACTAGTTTAACTCTTTCCACGGATAGAGCAAAGGACGCATTGAAAAATGTCGCTGAATTGTCGAAAATGGGGAAAAGTTAGAAATAATGCTAGTAGTAGCTAGTAATAGCACTAGTAGTAGCACTAGTTTCACCACCATATACCATCAAAGGTATAATATACTACAAGGATCAGATAGTAAAACTCATTTACGTGTTGCAGCAACAACACAAACAGGTAGCCGGAATATGGTCATTTGAATTTCATTCTGGATAAATGCTTACAAGAAAGCCTTGTGCTAATATATATTTGTTTTTCATATCAGAATTGGGCTGGCCCTGAAACTCTAGCCTGAAGTTTCGTGTGATGGAAAAATTTATGCGGCATGGATATGTCTTACACACGCTGGTTGACAAAAGGGTCGAGGTCATCAGACACGATAACCTTTCCTACGATGTAGAAATAACATTATTGTACAACGTCACAAGTTGCACGGATAGTCAGCGGAAAAATGATCAACAATTTTGGAAGTGAACGAAAACGCAGGTGAGAAACAGGAAAATATCCGCATTTGCGAAAATGCCAGTTAAAATATGTTCTCAAGGCCAATATTACGAACTGTCAGGAGTGAGGTGTCCGCAAAGTAGTGGAACCGCAACATCACATATTTTTCGCATTACTTCCTACTTTTGCAATTTTTTAAATTCAAAAAGTTCAAGGAAAGTCAGACCAGTGCCATCTTTTAAGCATGCTTTACCTTTGGGAAAAAATTCAAGAAAAACAACTGGTGCTAAACAGCACATACTTTCTCACCTTTATTAATGGTTCCGTAATACTATTTATACCGCAACTTCTCTCTGAATTAACACATCCTAGTCATATTTTTTTTAAACTCATTACAGACCGTAGGTACATTAGACTTGAAAACTAATTCCTCAACCAGGTATCTCCCACCAGCTGAGCACCGCCCCAGCCGGGACAAGACCTAAGCTCCCGGCCGGTCTTCCGGCATGTGTGGTAACCCCCCTCCCCGCAGTGGAGAACCGCGTCTGCATAGGTGGGTGCCATGTCTGGAAGAGAGTTGAAGACGATTTTCATGCAAATATCAACACAAAATCAACAATTATAATTGCGTTTCATACAGCTAAATCATGTCCCCAAACATGGGACGTAATTCACAGAACTACAACTGCCATCTCGCGGGTCGGAATGCCATTGTCGCATTTATAACTGGTATTTCTAGAAGGCTGGCAGTTTTTCCTTCATGTTACTTTTAAATCGTATTTTTCAAAGAGAAAACCTAATTGGGGAAATTTTATTCAAGTTTACGGATTGCTTGAAAGAAAATACATCATTACATTGAGAATGGAAATTCCTCGTAAAAGTGACAAAAATATGGATTATCAAATAGGTTTTAAATAATTTCTAAAATATTGATTTGTTAACGTATAACAAATGCTCGAATGTAAGATATGAACAAAGAAATATGATATAATATGAGAAGCGTTCATGCGAAAAAGAAACTGCGAAAAACTGATTGTTGACAAGTCATCGCTTTTTCAGACAATGTAATATGCTGTACTGCTTACTAGTATTGTTACCATAGTAAAAATCAGTTATTTATTAATTAATGACCAATATTACTATTTAAAAGCTTGGGCATGTTTGCTTTTGCTTGGAAAAATTTAGGACAATGTGCTTTTGTCCTATCATCGCATTTTATTGGGATAAATTATTTTACTGCAGTGTGTAGGCAAATATATAATTTTTCCACTTCAAAAATTTTTGTAGCTAATGTAACATTGTTTGACCTCTAAAGAAATTATAAAAAACTAAAAAGAAAATCTATATGTGCTAGTCGTGATCATCGTCTGAACAATCGCAATCATCTTTCAGTTATTGGCTATCCATTACACTTTGATTTTCAACTATTGGTCTATCAAGAACAAAGGAATACTATTGCAAGCCAGGAGTATCTGAAAATTATTTATCTTCTAAAGTCCAGTCAATAGACCTGGTACATTAGATATCTTAGCCAATGGTATAACCCTTTCAAGAGACACCTGTTCAAGGCTAAATTGTACCATATTTGTTAATATAATATAATAATATTTGTTAAAGGCTAAAGTGACTTTGATTTTACGAATTTTCTTCCCTTTCATTATTTTCTAAATAATGAATCGCTTCACAATTATGATAATCTCTGTATTCTTGCTCTAAGTGTCCTTGAGATCCCAATCTCCAAATAAATAAAAATATGACGCTTTTATGAAGACTTTACAGACCTGCGACATGAGCAGAATCGTGAATTTTGGCAACGTACTGGTTACACGGTTAACTTACTGGTTACATGTTCTTTATTGCTTGAAGACAAAGACATCCCCACGTCGTATTCAGGTCTTCTCAACCCGAGAAGTGAATTTGTTGATCGTCACACAGCAACATATACTGAGACATTGCAAGGAAAACGCACACTATAATCTTGCCTGACCGAGCATCGAACTCGGGGGGTGCGTTATGGAAAGTGAGCACCAATGAACTAAGCAGCCTGGCCGTATGGAGAATTTACTGTTTAAATTTTACGAAAACTTAAATTAATATTGATCGCTAATAACCTTAGTTGTTGTGACCTATAAGTGGCCTAAAATAACTTTTAAAAACAAGTGTAATTAAGAACTTTAGTTTCCTTTACTGATTATTTAAGGTGGAAATGTTTTTCGAGATTTTTTATCAATTATGCCATTAATATAACCTTTCAAAATTAATTTGGTTATAACGCAAATAATTTGACATTAATATGGGACCTTACAATTCTTACTAGCACAGGGTTTTAAAGATAATTAATGATGATTTCAGGCTGGAACTAGAGCAAGAAGATCTGCTGTGAATCTTGTGTTTGTTATTGAGCAATAGAGAAATTTATTGCACAAGATACACATTTTCTATTCGTTGATTTAGAAAAAATCGTACGAATATTCAAGTGGATTCAGGAAGTTTGAAAGGAAAAAAAAAATAATGATAAAATAATCACGACTTAAGAAAAATATAAAAAGAATGAATATCCGAAGATATGTTAGGATACAATCTTTCGGAATACATACAAGTATATATAACAAAAGGACTCAGGCAAGTGTGTACTTAATGAATCTTACCTACTTTATGTAAGCTATATTTAAAGAGATCGTTGGAAAATTGGGGAGGAGGGATGTGAGAGCATTGGGGTACCTATACTCGTTTTCACATTGAGAAGGCACAATGGGGGATGTTATTTTTATGAAAGAAATTCGTGCACCCTTTCAAATAGATTGTTACAAAAGCAAGTAGGAAAATTATAGGCATGTAGGGAAAATTACGAGAAATACGATTGTATTCACGATAAATTTGCCATAAAGTGGTTAAAAAAACAAAAACAAACAATGGAAACCCTTGATTTCTCCGGAACTGAATTTTTAAACACCTTTTCACCGGTGAAA